TTTTTTTTTTTAATATATGGAGTGAGAATATAATGCTAGGGCTGTGTATATACGTGTTGCACTCAAGATTTCAAGGGCCAGCTGCTCGCTGAAAATCATTTTCTCTGGGAGTGATAATGGAAGCCCAAAGAAGTCTGAAAGATTACTTTGCATTTTAAGCATATAACCAGTGCTGATGCTACATCAATCTCTGATTTTGATAATTTGGAATTTTGAAATTTGGGCCCCCTACCTCCTATTTCATTATTTTTTTTTTTAGTGAGATTTTATCCTCAGGTGACCTCTACAATATTGGCATTCCCTCAAGAGCTGTCAGAGAAACAGGAGGTTCCCGCACAGACAGGACATCGAACTGTTCCAGAGGACTAAGGAATGGGGACAGGGAATGTGAATTAAGGAGCAGAGAGTAAAATTAGCCCCCACAGTGAACTGATGAGGGAGTGGGGTCAAGGAAATTAAATGAGCAAATTTCTCCTTTGGGCTTGAGAGTGACCTTCAGATCAGATCAGGGGGTACAGAGTCCTTCAGTGGAATCAGCAGATATAAAAATAAGTTTCAGAGATGTGTGATAAATCATATAAAAGTGAGCAACCTAGGGAAGCATAAGGGGATGTGATGCACTGAAATGCCAAATGACAGATGTCAATATGCCATGTAGGGAGCGATGGCATCATATAAAAACATTTCAGAAGTCTGTCCTAGAGATATATGCCGTATGGCCAGAGACTGGACCTCCATGAGGTACTTTGTAGTAGATTTAATCATCCAGTTGTTCAAAAGTCTGATTTTCTGCTATTACTTGCTTCTCAGGCTTATTTTAACATCTCTAAAACTTTCATTAGTGCACACAAATGTTATTTTTTTCAGTGCTTTGGCTCCTAGGTGGAGGGATAAGGAAACAAATCTAATGAGTAAGAACTAACTCTGTTATCTTGGTCACATGTTTTTCTCTGCCATGTTGAATATCTGGTGGTGAGTGTACGAATTTAATCAGCATGAATTTAGATTGACCTGTACGTTTTACTGTAGATTCTCTATTTTCAGGCAATATACATAACCAAACGCAGCCTAATGACATCATTTACAGCAAAATCATTATTCTGTATGGAGAATAAGTAGATTAAAAAAAAAAAAAATCTCCAGGATGGTTTCTCTAGTGATCTTTGAAAACTGAGTCTGTGTTTCTAATACACCTCAATCATTCTTCAGTCAATTAAATGAAGCATCAAATTTTCAAAAGCATTCAGCAACCGGCAGGCGGAGATCTGCTTGGATCCTTCCTGCTTCCCCCTCAAATCCTGTGTCACTTGTCCTGTGGCCTAACTTACCCTTGCTTTCCTCCACCTCCACAGGAAAATACATGGTGTCTGACTGCTCAACACCCAACTCTTTGTCGCCGCTTGTCAGATGCCAGGAAAGCCTGCCTGTATCCTTGTTTCTAGCACAGGGAAGAAAGAGTGTTTTGGTCCTGTCACAGAAAGTGTTGGGGGGGAAGCGGGGTGAGTGACAAAATGCACTTCACTCATACAAAAGAAATAAAAATAGGGTTTATTGATATGGACAATGATTTCACGAGATTCTATGGCAAGGTCGCTTATTATTATTTACTGCATGGAGGTTCAAGATAATACACAGTTATCTCAGATACCCTCCTGTTGAGTCACAAGGTTCAGATTGGACCCCCTTGCTTTCCTGGCTCCTTCTGAGAGGAGTCTGGGTGCGGCTGGATCCAATCCTAGTTCCAGACCTGGTCAATGGTTTATGACTAAGGGCTTTTGTGAACAGTTACAAAGTAAAGTTTAAAGAGAGTGCGCTATATTGACTTAGCACGAATCTGTTGTAGAAAGGGATCTCTCAGCCTCGAGGAGGAGTCTTGAGAGGCATCTCTGCTCAAGGGGAGATCCTGACGTGCAGCCCGCTGCCATGCTAGGAAAGCTCAAGGGGAAGCAGGAACACCCAGAGCACAGGGCACAGGGCGGCATCCAGGTGGGTTTGGAAGATCTCCAGAGAAGGAGACACCACAACCGCCCCGGGCAGCCTGTTCCAGGGCTCTGTCACCCTCATAGGAAAGAAGTTCCTCCTCATATGGAGATGGCACCTGAGGGAGGTGCCCTCTTCCTCCCTCTGAATCCTTCCTCACCTGGGTAAGCATCACAGAATCACAGAATGGTTGAGGTTGGAAGGCACCTCTGGAGATCATCTAGTCCAACCTCCTGCTCCAGCAGGCACACCCAGAGCACGGGGCACAGGGCGGCATCCAGGTGGGTTTGGAAGATCTCCAGAGAAGGAGACAACCCTCCTCTAGGTAGCCTGTTTCAGGGCTCTGGCATCCTCACAGCAAAGAAGTTCTTCCTCATATGCAGATGAAACTTCCTGTCTTTTACTTTCTCGCCATTACTCCTTGCTCTGTTGTTGGCCACCACCAAGAAGAGTTTGGTCCCAGCTTCTTTACATTCTCCCCTCGTGTATTTGCACATGTTGATAAGATTCTCTCTCAATCTTCCCTTCTCTAGGCTGATTAGACTTAGTTCGCTTAGTCTTTTTTCATACAATAATACTGTGCTGGTCCTCAGAAGACATTGACTCATTCCTAGTTTTGTCATTATCTTGGATGAATTTTAAGTTCTATATCTGAGTGTAATTCTGTGCATCAGGACTAGCTGAGATGTATAGCAGTCCTGATAGAAAGTACCAAGGGATTTCAGGGTGGTAGTAGTGCCAAGCTGAATATGACCCATTGTGATTTCACTGAAAAAAAAAAAAATAAATAAAAATAAATAAATAAATAAAGGAAATTGCATACTTAGTTACATTAAGTGATTAAGTGGAATGTGGCCAGCAGATCAGGGGAAGTTATGATTCTCTCACTACTTCACACTGGTAAGGCCATGTCTTTGATTCTGTTCCCAGTTCTAGGCCTCCTGTTTCAGGAGAGAGGTGGTTACAATAGACATGGCAAGTTGTGCTTGTTCAGTACAGTGAAGAAGAAGCTAAGGATCACTCTTAACAATGGCTTACAAGTATTTTTAAAGATAGTTACTAAGGTGACAGAGCCAAACTCTTATTGCTAGTGACAGATGACAGAAAACGTGGCAACAATTACATGCTGTGGTTTGGGAAGTTCAGAGTGAATATTAGAGAGAGCAATGCCACTTTACTTTAAAAAAAACTAACAGTTCTTCAAGCTTTATACCTCAAGGACAACCTTATTTTTCAGTTGCATTTGTGTACCAGAGGATGACATCACTAGAGTACATGAGCTGCTAAAGATGAAAACATACGTCAATAGGAGATCACCTTTTTCCCCCTGATAAAAGCTTTCCCAAAATAACTATTTGGGAAGATGGTTGTTGCTATCATAGTTACCCTATTGGAATATGTGCAAAGTACTTCATACACAGACAATTTGGTATCACTTCAAGAAGGCAGTGCCGGTGCTTCACTAAAACATGAAAAGGAAATACAAAGATGAATAAGTAAAAAAAAAGAAAAT